TGCTCGGCACCGCGCGCTCACCTCGCGGCTCCGCCTGCGCTTCGGCACCTGGGGCGCGCGGAGGTCCGCGCCCTGGAGAAGCTGCCGGTGCACATGGGCCTGGTGGTCACCGAGGAGGAGCCGGAGGCCCAGCTTCTCGGACATCGCGAGCCTCGTGGTGTGGTGTATGGCCGTGGGGATCTCCTACATCAGCGTCTACGACCACCAAGGAATTTTCAAAAGAAATAATTCCAGATTGATGGATGAAATTTTAAAACAGCAGCAGGAACTTCTGGGTCTGGATTGTTCCAAATACTCAACGGAGTTTGCAAATAGTAATGAAAAAGATGATCAAGTTTTAAATTGCCATTTGGTACTGAAGGTGCTGTCCCCAGAAGATGGAAAAGCAGATGTTGTGAGAGCTGCTCAAGACTTCTGCCAGTTTGTAGCCAAGCAGCAAAAGAGAGCCACAGATTTGGATGTAGATATGTTAGACAGTTTACTTAGTTCAAATGGTTTCACTGATCCTGATTTAGTATTGAAGTTTGGTCCTGTGGACAGCACATTAGGTTTTCTTCCCTGGCAAATCAGATTGACTGAAATTGTCTCTTTGCCTTCCCACCTAAAACATCAGCTATGAGGACTTTTTCTCTGCCCTTCGTCAGGATGCAGCCTGTGAACAGCGTCTGGGAAAGTAATGATCCCTGGTTGTGTAATTTGATTTCAGGCTTTTGGAGAAAAGGACTCAAGTGACTCTGATGTTTACAAAGCACCTATGAAACCCTGTATACACCTAGTTCATATTCCTCATAATTTATCAACAAACACAAAAAAGTGTCTTACTTGAGAGTGAATGAGTGTGTGCTTGTGTGTATGTGTGTGTGCGAGCGTGTGGAAATACACTTAGAAATGGGGGGAGTGTTGGAGAAAGAATACACAAACCTGCAACTTGAAACAAAAATAGCAGCGATGTTTTAGGAGCTGAGATTTCAGATTAAAGGCTTCAGCCCCTGCCACTTCCCTGTTTCTGTGGGGAGAGGAGGGAATGATTGGAGCTGTTTTAGTTGTTGTTTGGTGTTGAAGAAGGAATACCTTTTGTCCAGTCTTTTTGTAGTGACCAAACTTTGATTTTTAAGAATAATATATGGACTTGTTAAATGGAAACATTCTGAGTTTAAGGAGCTTCAGAGAAATGAAGTTATTCAGAGTGTCCTCATTGTCAGGCAGAGGGAATACCTGTCTTCAGCTGTCCGTCCATTTCATTTCTTAGTAATGTTGCTCTGGTGTCTATTCTGAGTGGTAAAGCTCATTTGAAAAAGAACTCATACACTGAAATACAAAATTAAAAATTTTAATTATTAAATTCTTAAATACTGAATTAGTCATAATCAAATCAATAGGGCAAATGTTATAATCTTAAAAGTCAAGGTAAAAAAATTTCCTAAAAAGAGGAAAGTAAGTTTTGATTTTTTAAAATGAATAATATCTGTGTAGTGCCCAAAGTTATTTTAAAAATATTTCCATGTACTGTTTCTATTTAAAATAAACATTTGACAAAAGTTACCTCCCCCCCTCCCCAACCTGCCCTAAAGTAACTGGTTCCTCTTTGGAATAACACTTGGGATTTTTATTCACTAAATCCCAATGGTAATTTAGTATAAAAGATATGTATGATTTGAGGCCTGTATAGTATGTAAAAGTATTACCAGAGTCTGTGAAGATAATTTAATTTTCCATGTTCTCTTTCATGGCAGAGAACAGCACTGGTTCTGTTATTTTTCAAATGAATAAGTGATTTCTTGATATGTGTGTTAATACTATTCCCTCATTGCTGATCCTGGAACAGAAACTATTTTTATTTAATGGACGTTTTTCCAAAAAAATTATCAAGAAGTGTACAGTGCTTATGTACATTTAGAATGGATTAGCTTAAATACTAGGTCTCAGAAGTCTGCAAAATAACAATGGAAGGCTGGATGTAGAAAGCATGGTCTGGAATTGCTTGCCAGATTCTAAAGTGATGAAGAAAAAATGTTTCAACTTTGAATTACAAAACCCCATTTATGATTTTTAAAACATACTTGAAATAAAAATGATTAAACTAAAAAAATAAATAAATAAAAACAAGTGTAATTTAATTTTTATGGTAGAGTTACCAAGGTTGCTTTACAGAGGAGATCATTTAAAGTTGGAAAGAATTAGAGACTGAATAATACAAATATTTATAGAAGTGCTGTATTAGGAAGTTTGCTCCATACACTACAACCATCCCTTACTAAAAATGTCAGTTTCCTACTAAAGTAAAATTATAGTTCACAGTCTTCATATCTTTAGGGAAGCTTCACCTATGAACTCTTGACCTTTAATGTACAGGAAAATTCAAATCTCAATATTACTTGGTAGTATAGAAATGACCTTATGTCATTTTTCTAGGAAAATAATACTGTCCTCAATATAGAATTTAGGCTATGAAGTAAGATTAGTGAGCCATTTTCAATCAAAGGCTTATTAAAATATAGAGCTAAACTACAGTTAGTATTTCAGTAGCCATTCTATATGA